CCTGGTTGGTCTTGTGTGCATGCTAGCGACATTTTGGGTAGGAAATGCTTTGACCTCATGGCGGCCGTATCGTTTTGCAGATTTCGGTGTATCCCGTTTTGTTTAATATGCAGTACGATCCCAGGATCATAAGGTGGGTGGTCTGGTTTTCTGTTTACGGTGTCTTCTAGGTTTAGATCTGTTCCTGGATGCCTATTAGGGACACTGGCAGCTGCCCTGTTTTAACTAATACAAATTATATTGAAGTAATGTATTAAATTTCTTGATAATTAGAAGGGTCTTAAGTCCATGGAGGGCGAATCGCGGCGGTCACGACTAATTGATACTAAGCACCTATCTAGTACCGTACCTTTGCGCTACACACCCTTAATTTTGACGGTGTAGCGTCAACCACTACACTCAATCTCGCCCTAGGTCAGCTTCCTTCTGACCGACCAATGGGAGAGGGGAGGTGGATTGAGCTCTATCCAACTCCTAGGCGTCTCATCATCAGCAAGCAAATGTTCTGCTCAACCATGGCACGGTAGTTGCCAGGGTTCCCTCTTTCCTGAAAATGTATCAGATTGGAATGGTCGCTCCTCACTGTAAGGAGGTCCATGCCTCCCTCCCCTACAATGAAGCGTGACGTCTGTGAAGCCAGTATAGGAACTGTGTGTGTATTACGCGTAGACGGACTATTGAAAAAAACTTCGCCACTGTGCCGACGCCTATCGTAAGTCGCTTTGTTTTGCCATTGCGACGTGCTGGGAATGAGAAGTAAGGTAAATTAGATGGTTCAAAAGTCATCTCTAGTAGAAACGATCTCACATGCACGTCAGTGACAGCGGCAGATCTCGTCGCCTGCAAAGTTTAAACCTTCGCGATGCTGCTTTAAGTCTCGGCACGCAGATTGTGGACTGTACGCAGTCGATGCGTGTCCCTGTTTCTTGTAAGCGTACGTGATGGGGTGAACGGAAGCCGGTCGCTGCATCAGCTCCAAACAGTCAGCCAGAAGGTTTGAACAGACTGGGAGAGAGAGAGCGAGGTGCACATTCTCAGAGAAATACAACCTCCTCGATGTACGAAATCTGCTGCGATTAAGTCTGCCACCGTGGGTTAACGGTCTGCGGGGAGGGGGACTGAAGTCGAGGAACTGGCATCCAACATACGAACAACTTTGCTAAAACCTACTCCTGCTTTGGTGAGAAAGAAGCACACCAGGGTATCCGTGTTCACTCTGTTTTTGTTTTAAGTGCACAGAATGTCTCTCGAGCACATTCTTTGTGTTGTACTGTCGACTACAAACTGTGGAGTTTGGAGTTTCATGTTGTCCATGGTTTCTTAATTAAAGAAATGACGTATGGTGTTAGCTTTTCGGCGAGGTATTTTATAAAAAGGAAAAGAAGGCTTCTGAAATGGGTCAACCTCCTGGGAGCAACAACTCGAAATGGCCCGTATTATGCCCTTAATATTTTATTCGCAATGTTCGTGGACGTCAAATGGTCTAATCAGTGATTCCGTTGAGGAATTACTAGTTGAGGACGTGCAGAAATTTCCATTTCAGGCTACTTAATTTGTTCGCGCTATTTCCAAGGGGGTTACTGACACGGCATAAACGATGAACAGTCTTGCAGTAGGGTAGTTTAATTAAAGCAATTAAGGTAGAAAATGGAATTCAGGATTGGTGAAAGTATTTCCTGTTTGTTTATTGCATTTTCTGTAGATTTCTTCAGGGAAGTGGGCCTTCTTTTGTTCTTTTTAATCATATTATGTGGCAGTTATAAAAGAAAAAGTAACTAAAACTCCAAATCAAATGTAGTGTCCCCTGGTTTCCGAATTTTCAGTGTGCAAGTCACGCATCTCGAAGGTTTTCGTCACGGATATATATGAACATTTTCATAAACCTGCTACTAGTGGTAGTCAAATGTTTCACATGAATGGGCTCCATTTTTGTGTAAGAGGTGATTGCCTTTGTGATATTTGGACCAACTTGTGGTACAGAGGTATGCCCTGGATCTCCACTGTTCGCATGCTCTGTACCTTTTCGCAACACTCAAGTGTGGGCATGTTCCGGTTGCTCGTACTAGCTTGCGCAGATTGCCTGGTTTATTCTAGCATATCCAGAACCTTCTCATCAACCTTATTCGGCTTCAAAATTGGCAGAAGCCCAGTAAGTGTCATAACTTCTTTTAAAGCAAAGTTCCCTAGGTGCAAATTTGTATATTGCAAAAACAGCAAGATTTATTGGATCCATAAAATTTCAGGAAGGTTCATCAGTTGCGTCCATTCCATTGCATGGTGAGAGTAACGAATGAGAAAAATACAAAATTGAATTGGTACAGAAAGGCCAAAAAAGGTCATAGGGCAGGTTAAAAAAGGTTAATTAGTGAAGTTAGTGAGTTAAAACGAGGTGGAAAAAGAACAGATGAAAAAGGAGTTATGGCGAAAAGAAGGGTAGGGAACTATGTAAATCTAGGAGTCAGATTTTACCAAGGCAAAGCTAGGTTAACCACGTGCTCCAACTGTTTACATAGGTTAGGTTTTGACATCCTTATGTAGGCTGCCTCCAGGCAGCGCAAGGTCCGAGTTGTTTGTGCCCGAACAAGTACTCGGACGGAAGTTTTAGGGTCCACAGAATGGCCCGTATCTAGCAAATGTTCTGTAATGGAGGAACGAGGCGTTCTATGTTCCTGTTTGAAAAGCACAGTACTGTGTTGTCAGAAGACTCTGACACAAGCTCTTACACTTGCATGGCCTAAACCGACACCAGGTGGCGATAGCATTTCGCCCCTATAAACTAGCGGCAGTCTCTCAACAAACACGCTGACATGGCCTACATGCGCAAAC